AAACAAAGCAAAAGGAAAAACACAAAAAGGCAAAGCAGAAGGGACTCCTCTTAGGCAGCAGTAAAACGGTAAAGGTAAACTAAGGAGAGCGGGTGAAATTAAAAAGCCAGCTCATTTGAACTTAGACTTGAAGGCTAAAATTTGAGTAGGTAAAGAATTAAGGAAAGGGATCAAAAGACAGGAATGGCCCATCAAGATAAGAAGATAAAATAATGCAATGAGAATAAACAATATGTGTTAAAGTTATTTTTTAAAAACTGCTTTTTTTTTTCTCTTAGCTTCTCTCTTAACCTGGCTATCACACAAATAATTGAGACTTATTATTAAACAAATTATATTTGTTTAATAATAAGCTTCACAACATCACAACTGAGCAATTATTACTCTATTTGTAACCCTCGAAGCTACTTCAGCTTCCTCCCAGTGTACATCTCACAGATACTTGCACTTTGTGTTTTTCCCCCCTCCGGCTCTTCTCCTGGTCCCTCCTGGACATCTGCCCATTGCTCACTCAAAATGTTTATTTTATTTTTATATCATGTGTAAGGGTTTTTGTAAAAATGTCTAAAAAAAATGTTGTATTCCAATGGATATATGTGCTAAAGCACCATCAGCTCCAACTGGCAAAGGCATATCCAAGACAGTCACGATCTCTAACAAATGTATAACCTTAGAATCATGCTCTCCAGAATTTAAGGCAAAAGCCCATCAGAATTCTGAACATGAACCTATGGCATGATGCATATATTTCAGTTCTCCAAACTCTACAAAATGGAGCACAAAAGCCATTGTATGACCTTCCAATGTAATACCAAACAGGATCTGCATTTCTCCTTTAGCATATAGCCCTTCATACAGTATTTGAACCTTAACAATACATGCACAATATCTAATCTGACCATGCTAGTCTATAGGCAAAGCATTTTTATCCAGCATCTCAGTAGGCTGCCAATCTGTAATTTCTTCAAGCCTTTGTAGATGTTTCTCATCTGGAACTATCTCTTTTGGTATTACTGTAAGTTCCTGATTGGATTTCTCTGAAGGTTCCCTATACCATCCTCTGTTCTATGGTCTTTAATTTAGCATCTATTTCTCAAATTCTCTTTTTTCTAAGCCTTATTCTGATCTTTCCCAAAGAGGATATACAAAACTGAAATTGTTACTGAAAAAAAAAAAAATTTGTATGCTAAGAGAAACAAACTCAAATGGAAATCCAGAAACACTGTGTCACTGTCTTCCTCCATTTTCAACATAGAAAATAATAATCTTCTTTAATATCAAAACCTTTCCCTAAAGAGCTTATTTTCTTAGACCTAGCTTCCCTTCTAGACTTTAGCAATTCAAATGTTTGAGGCTTCTCAGTCTGTCTCTGGCTCCTGTTTCCAGGGAGAAGCTTTTTTGCCTCCCTCACTGGATCTTTTAGGAGAGAAGAGGAAGATTCAGCCATGAGACAGGTCCAAGGGACATCAAGAGAAAAAGCTGGAACAAGGAAAGCTACAAAGTGAAGTATCTCTGGGCTGTACTCTGGGGAAAGCCAAATTAACTTACAGGGTTAAGAATAGAGTAATAACTGCTCAGTTATTGTGTCTGTGAGGCCTATTATTTAAAACATATACAAGAGCTTCAATTATTTGTGTGATAGCTGGGTTAACAGAGAAACTGAGAAACAAACATAGTTTTATAAAAACGACATTAACATTTTGGCGCTTACAGTCAACTGTTGAGCAGGGGAGGGAATAGAGAGAACATTGCAGTTTTAGGAATTACATAGGTATAATACTTTGGCATGTTATTACAAAATATAATCTTAAATCTGTATCAATATACAAATATTTATACCAATGTAATATTCTGGCTTATTAATGTCCTTTGGTCTAAAAGTAGATTCAATAATCTACCATTTTGCTTATCATTCCTATAACCATCTTTTAAAAATTATTGTTAGAGCTTTTCATAATTGTTATTATTATATATAGTTTGTTACTGTAAGAGAAAGAGCCTTTTATTAGACTGAAAAGGAGAAATGGCTCAGCAGTTAAGAGCATTTGTTGCCCTTGTAGAGAACCTACTTCCTGCCAGTCAGGGGAGGAGAAGTTAAAAGAAGGAAGAAAGGGATTCAGCCTCGGAGAGGTCCAGAAATCGGCATATGAATTACACAATAACGTTATGCCTACAAGTACAGGCATGGGAGAAATCAATACCATACAACAAGGGAGATTGGAGCTAGGTAATACTCAACAGTAGACTGAAATGGATTTTAGGCAACTGAGTGCCTCTGCTGGTCTTCAAGCCAGTATTATTAAAAGAGATTGTCCTGGCAGCTATTTCCTGGCTGGACTAGAAAGAAAGAAAAGGCAAGCGCTCTGGAGATTGGTTAGGAGACTGTGTATAAAATAAATCCTACTCTATGGTTTCACAGAAGCCACAGACAGGTCAAACATTAACTCTCTCTGTGCCAGGTATAGATTTGATTTATTTGAGACAAGGTCTCAAAGTTCAGACTGGCTTCAAGCTCAGTACACAGCTGATCTGATACCTGTACCTCTACCTCTAAGTGTAGGGATTATAGGCAGGTGCCACCATACCTGACCTTAGGTTTTGATTTAATAGCTCTTGTCAGGGTTCATTTTAACAGCATTATCAAGATATAAACTGCAAACTACAGAATTCAAAAGTGTACATGCTAATGGTTTTCAGTATGTTCAGTCATGCAACCATTACTACATTACCACAATTGTTTTGAGAACATTTATACTATGCTAAAAAGCCTCATTTCCTGGGGCTGAGGAAGTGCATGGTTCAGATGGTAGATTGCTCACCTAGGATGCAAAAGCCCTTAAGGCTAATCTCCAGTATTGAAAAAAAAAAAAACAAAAACAAAAACAAAACCAGGTATGGTAGGACTCATCTGTGATCCTAGCACTCAGGTGGTAAAGGCAGAAAAATTGGAAGTTTAAGGTCATTCTTAGCTACAAAGTTGAGTTTGAGACCAGCCTAAGGTACATGAGAACCTGTTTCACAAACAAAACAAAGTTTTGTGTGGTGGTGCATGCCTTAAATTCCAGAACTCAGGAGGCAGAGGCAGGTGGAGCTCTAGGCCAGCCCAGACTACAGAGCTCCAGGACAGCCAGGGACACACAGTGAGAACCTATCTCAAAAAACCTAAAACCAAAGCAAAACAACAATAACAAAAACTAACCAGAAACCCAGTCCCTTTAATCTCATCTCTTCAGACTGGAACACACTAATCTTCCTGTTTCTCTCGATTTGCTTGTCCTGGATGTTTTTCACATGAATGGTATCATCCCATGTGGTCCTTTTACGGAGCAGGTTTCCAAGATGCAGTAGCATAAAACAGATCTGCATTTTGCTCACATTTATTGAGAAAAAATAGGCTATACATCCATGTGTACATTCACCACTCATCCATGCATCAGCCTGTGGAAATGCGAGCTCTTTTCTTTTTCTAGTTAAACAGGCCCTCAATACATGTGCATGTACATATATACTCACACACACAGATATATATATATACACTATACATATATAGCGCGTAGAAACACTGGGTTACTATTATCTTGTGTTTGGTTGTGTTTCTAGTTACAGAAGTTCCAAAGAATATTTTACAGCCTTCTATCTTTTTCCTCCCATCCAGCCTGTCAGTATTTTACTCTCCATCTGGTGATGCTGGTGTTAGCCCAGGTAACATTTAACATTAAGAGGGAAACTGTGTTACCTTTACACTCTCGTTCTTGTCTAGTTTTCACACTTCCGAGACTGGCACTACTAGCATTATCTTTTTCTCACAAGCCCTAATATAAAGTGCCCTTATAACTCAGAAATAATTTACCCAACACAAATGCCACCCATTTTTGTATGAGAGGTAATGCGGACAATCTGCCTAAGTCAGCTCTCTCCTTACATACCACGTGGGTCCCTGGGGCTCCAATTCAGGACCTCAGGCTTGGCAACAAGCACCTACACTCACTGCGTCACCTTGCTGGTCCCCACACGGAATATTTAAAGGATAATTTTGTATTTCACAAAACCTATTTATACATTTATTTAGCACCTTCTATAGGGTAAACACTATGCCTGTACTGATCTTGATTTTAATCTTACACAAGGAATTCTTTTAACTAATTTCTATTCTCTTCCTAGTTCACCAAGCTGGGGCAAAAAACACTAATAAGATGTTACTCCTTTTCAGCTACTAGACTATAATTACTTAGAACCCAGAGAGGCCAAACAAGGAAGTTCCTTCTGGTTTGCTGCTTTCATTGGTCCTCTCACCTGGCAGGCTTAGGTTTGGTGTGATTTTAATAAAAGTCGTGGTGGATAAGGCAGAGCACCAGTGACCAACAAGCAGACCTGTTGTTAACAGTGAAGGAACAAACTATGCAAGGAGCGGACTTCAGCAGTCCGACGGCCCTTTCTCAAGAACTTTTTTTACAGCAAGTGTCTTCTCTAGGAACAGTGCAGAGGGCTCGCTTGAACAGCGAAGTCTGCACTCTTTTTGAAGGACAAGATACTGAAAAGCATGATAGCAAAACCCTTGATGCCAACAGCAATGTGGGACACCAAGGGTCCTCTGAAAACACAGGGCAGGAGAGAGAAACAGAGCTCAGATTGTGTCGGGTGGAGAGACATCCCTGCCTGGTGTGGAGAGGCGCGCGGGGGGTGGGAGGGTGGGGCGGGAAGAAGTGTCCGTGGACAGCACACGGACCGGGGAGGGAGAACCTGCCCGAGTCAGGTCGCCCGAGGGTGAGCGAGCCTCGGCAGAAGCCGGGGAGAAGGCCGCGTCTGGTCACCCCGCCCATCCCTGGTGCTGGCACGAAACCCGACTCGCCCAGCAAGCCGGAAAGAGTCCTACCAGGGACTTGATGCCAAAGCAACAAGTGTCCGTGCGGCTGCCGGAGAGGCTGCCGGGCTGCAGCGGGAAAACAAGACCCGGCGCGGCAGACGCTTTCCTGTCTCAGCCCTGACCCCTCCGCACTCACTCCGCCACACGACGCTCTTCAGACCCCGCTCCGTCACCGGCGGCGCCATCTTCCCCAAGCCGTGGAGCCGCAGCCACCGCCTCCCACTCGCAACCTATTTTGCCCTGAAAGCTGGGCTGGGGGGGAGGTTCCTTCCCCTCTCGGGGAGGAAGGCTCCTCCCCCTCCGCGGACCGCGCCCTCTGGTGACGTCACGCGCGTCAACACGGGCGCGTCGCGCCTGCGCCTGGACTGAGGCTGCGCAGTGTGGGCGGACTGCTGTTAGCAGTCTGGCGCCCCCTGGCGGAAGCCTACTATAACCGTAAATTCAGTGTCCAGTTTGGCATCAGAAAGCAAAGAATGAACTAACACAGTTTATCCAATTATGAATTTTTACATACGGGGTCTCTTCTTTCTTATTTTAAAATTACACTTATTTGTGTGTATGTATGTGTGCACAAGTGCGCTTGCCAAGGCTCTGACGTGAAGACCGCATCTTCCACAATGTGCGTTTTGGGATGAAACTTAAGTTGTCAGATCCCAATACAGAGATCCTTTGCTTTACAAAATAATGGTTCATTTGCCAAAGCAAATCATACTAGACTCTTCAGAAACCAGCTCAACTACCAAATGGAAAGTCTACCTCCCCAACTTCATTATCCTCATTTTTCAAGACCACTGGTTATGTTAAGTTGTAAGCGAACATCCAGTAGGCCCAGAATCGTGCTGGACTTCAGGAAAGAAGAGAGACAGGACAGACAGAGACAGAGACCCTCTTCTCCCTCTGAGTAATTTCATAATTTAAATTACAGAGCATGATTTCTACCACAATTTTTGAGGCAAATTTGAAGGAGTCTTTATTTTATTCAGGTGCACCAGACAGCTGGCCAGTTAGAAACAGAAGTGCTGAGAGTCCCTTGCTTGGGGTTCTTTTAAGGAGTAAAACAACAAGTAGTTTTGCAAAGCAGGTTTTCAGAAGCAAGCCCATGGGGTAGTTGGGAAGTACAGAAAAATCTCAAAACAACAACAAAATAGTCATCCTCGTGTAACTGCTGTTAAGGGAGTTCTCAAAAACAAGTCAAGGGAATGGATTGGGACAGGGCAGTTTCCAAGAAACAGAAACTTAAAAACAGCTCTTAGAGTAAATGAAAACTTATTTTTAACAATACAACAAAATGGCTCCTGCCTTCAAAATGGAGTTGGGCAGATTCCTCATTCTCCACTTGACTTATGTGTCCCTGTCAAATCCTTGGTAGGGTATTGTCTTTCAGAATGTTGTCAAGCAGCAATGATTCTAGCACTGCTTATCTGATCAAGATGGTAACACCTTAGAGAGTGCAGGACTGGATTATGATAACCAGTAGAATAATACTAGAGAGCTAGTGAAGGTGCAGAACAATCTTCGCCATGTTTCCAGTCAAAATTTGCCTCCCATACAGCTCTTTCAGTGACACACCTCTTGTAGAGATACAGCTCTCTTTATTGGGGGGAATACGGGCCATATAAACTTTGGGGACATGGGTAGGGGTTTTTTGGATGAGCGAACATCATTGTCTGGGGCTGAGGTGCTGGGAATGCTTCATTTGCATGAAGAGGAACTCCAGGTGCTAGGCTACAGGACAACCTCCAGAATTGTGGAGGTCGAAAAACTACATGCGCTGGGGCATGCAGGCACCGAACCAGCAGGGAGCGATTCTTACTCCTGCCAGTCTCAAGATTGAGATTTTCAGGGTTTAGACATGTCTGAACCTCACTCTTAACTCCAGGCCGGTTTCCCTGGTTGCACAGTTTGCATGCCCCCACATAAAAGGAGATGATCTCTGAGATCTCCTGAGGTGACAAGTGCATGAAATGATGCAAGGCAGTTAGCCAGTTGGCCCAGTACCTTTGGCATGCAGAATCTTCCATCTGTTGAGACCCACCATCTGCTGTGTCTCTCCCAAGTCCCCACATCAGAAAATGACTTGATTTCTTCTGGATCGTACTCAGGAACATGTTCATGGAGGGTGAGGGTTCCGGGGCAGCAGTTAGTTCCAGGACGGTCTGGAGTTTGGCTCCCCCGGAGCAGCCTCTTTGGTGACTTGATCTGCTTAGTTGTTAACCTGAGATCGGGAGCTTTTGTCTTTTTGGTGTCCTGGCCAGTGTATTATGGCAAGCTCAGTTGGCAGCCAGATGGTCTCCAGCAACTGAACAATACCATGTTTATTTTTAATAGTCTTTTCCTCTGAGTAAGCCTCTCTGTTTATATATCTACCTGTGGACACGAGCCATGACAAAAGCATATCAGTTATCTGTATAGATATTCACCTTTTTCCCTTCAGCCCATCTTAAAACGTGTATTCGAGCAATCATATCTGCTTTCAGGGCATATGTGCCCATGGGCAAGGCTTGTGCCCAAATGACCTCCTTCTGGCCTATGACCACCGCTGCCCTCAGATACCTGGTTCCATCTCAATTGACACCCCTGCCATCTGAGGAGAGGTCACCACCATCCCTGGTGGTGAGAGGAACGTTTGCCAGGTTAGGTTAGGCATACCTTGGATGACATCCAGCATCTCCAGGCAGTCATAGATGGACCCCCCACCCAGGGTTATCCGTTGTCTGGCAGCTGGGTGATAGGATTGATAGCCAAAGATTTATTAAAGGTCAGTTTTTCCTTATCTTTTTTTTTAAAGGCTTGGTACTGAGTCAGGCCCACATTTGACATCCATTGGTTGATGATATCCCTCTGTAGAGTTTCCACAGTGTGTGGGGCTGTTACAGTTAGAGTCTTTCCCACTGTTAGCTTCTTTTACAAGAATTTTGGTGGCTGCAATGGCTCTTAAACAAGGGGTCCATCCAGAGGCTACAGGATCCAGGTTCTTTGAGATGTGTAAGCTATTAACCTTTTCTAGGGACCCAGAGTATGAGTTAGGACTCCCTTGGTAAAGCCTGTTTTTTTGTTGTTGTTGTTGTTGTTTTTTTTTTTTTCATGGATGTAAAGATGAAAGAACTTTGAGACATCAGGGAGAGTTAAAGCAGTGGCCCTCACAAGGGCCTTTGATTGTGGATATAAACATGGTTTTGTTCTGGTCCCAGGTGCGGGATGTGAGACTGATTCAGATGGTCCACAGCAGCAAACTATTTGCTTTGTCTGAGCTCTGAGAGGAGCTCTTTGCCAACTGTGGATAGTTTAAATCTGAGGACTCTGGAAAGAGAATAAATGCCAGATCCCAGAGAGGGTAAAGCTCAGAGAAAGAACAAGGCTGCTCCTGCTTCCCTCTTGCTGCTCCTGGTTGCTGTTGTGAGACAAGAAGTTGGAGATCTCCTGAAAGGAGGACTGGACTGGCTCCAAGGAACCCAACAACCCTAACCATCAGGAAACAGCTAAGAAAGAACTGTGCCTCTTCTCTACTACCCTTCTCTCTCCTACATGGTCTTGGGGTGTTGAAAGGGATTGGAGTGGAGTAGGAGGGAAAAGATAGAAGAAATGTAAATGAAAGTCTTTAAAAACTAATGTCTACAGCCTTTTTTTAAGTTCTTAAAGGTCTATTCATATTTCCCAGTCCATTTCAAAGATTTGTTGCCCCAGCTGTGGCAGAGTACAAGGGTTTGGCAATTTCGGATATCCAAAGACCGAAATATCCAACAGCTCCTCCGAGAAACTCCCTAACTTGTTTCTTGGTGGTTGAAAGCAGGAAGATGAGGAGTTCAAGATCATCCTTGACTATATACCTAGTTCCGGAGACCTTGCCCCCCACACCCCCCAAAAAAATAAAAAACCCAAAGAAGTGAACACCTTAGGGATTTAATATAAATAAAGGAACCAAGAAAACAATAACCTGTCATGCAACAAGTTTGTGCAAAATAATGCACGGAGGAGGTTATCAATGTTTTAAGACCCTTGAATTGTTGGAAGCTGATGAGCAGGAAATGCTTTGAGCTTAGACTAAAACAATTTAGGCAGCAGCCTGCCTACTTGAGGTGGTTGTCTTGGGACCTGAAAGCAAAACAGTCAGCTCAGTTGCTGGCTGAGTGCCCTGACAACCATTATTTGCACAGTCTTTCCTACAGGAGTTTGCAAATGAGTCAATAGTTTCAGAGATTCAAACTGGCCACACAGTGGAAGTGGTTAGCAAGCACTGTTTCTAATAATGCCTGATATTGGCTGAGTGCTTAGTGGACACCATGCCCCAGACAAAGTGGATTATCTCCTTTATCCTCAAGCAATCCACAGAAATAAGGAAGTCGACTCGATGCTGTTAATTGCCAAGGCTTCATGGTGTGTGCTGCTGTGGTGACAAGGCTCAGCTCGCTCTACACCGAAAACAAAGGCAAAGGGAGCGGAAAGAAAACGGACAGAAGTGCTTTTTCTGTCTGAGGTTTTTTTTTTTTTTGTGACAACACAGGTTGGGGCCTTAGCTCCCTTTAAACCTCTTAAATTGCTTCAGTTGCTCACGGTTTTAGCTATGTGGCATCTTTCCCACTCCCTTTTCCGATTTAAAGCAAGTTCTTCTTAGTACGTATAGTAGGGTGGAGCCCAAGCCGTAAGAAAAACCCTAATGGAGCAAAACTTACAGGAGTTTCTTATGCCCAGGGCTCAAACCAAGAAGAAGTGAGGTGGGTGAGACACCTCCATGCCGTCTTCTTCAAGAAGCTAGATGCTAAGAAATGACATAAAATGCCCTTCAGAGGTGGAAGTATGGTTGCAGGAGCTGTGGTTATGACATCTGTCCTTAAAAGCTCAGGGACGTTGTGGAGAAGTGGACCGAGTGTTGTAGGCCTTAGCTGCACGCGCACGCGCACACACACACACACACACACACACACACACACACACACACACGCAAGTCCGCAGCACGTGCATTGAGGCTGATTCTTGCTAACAGGGTGGACTGATTCTTGCATTGAATCTGTGTGTGATACAGTTTCTCTGTGTGCTGGTAAGAGTGAATGTGTATGTGTGTGCACGCACGTGTGTGTGGAACTCGGAGGCCAGTGTCAGGTGCCGTCCTCATTTACTTTTCCACCTTTCTTTTTTGAGGTAGGGTCTCTCACTAAACCTGGAGCTCACATATTTGGAATAGACAGACAGACTGGTCAGCAAGTCTCAGCAATCCTTACATCTCCATTGTCCCAAGACTGGGATTACAGGCACACACCACCATGGCCAACTTTTGCCCAGCTTTTGATCTAAACTCGGGTCCTTA